AAGCCAGCTATGCGCGTGGCCGCTGTCTAGCAATGCCTGTTCGGGCTGCGGGGCGAGGACGATAAGCTCGCCGCCTCGCACTGTTGCCGGCACGTCTTGGAGGACTCGGCTTGCTATGTGCGGAGCGCACGCCTCCCTCTGCCTAGGGGGCAGCTTGGGTCGATGCCCTGCCCGTCCTGCATGCCGCGTGTCCAAATGCCGCTCAAACGTGCTGGCTGGCAAAGCCGGCCATCCTGGCATGCTGACGACGAAGGCCTCCGACCCTCACATTGCGACCTGCCTGAACCTGGCAAGCGGTGCCAGGGCTGGCAACATCACGGTTCCCGCACTGCTCATGCTTACTCGCGGCAAGTGCGCACGGGGCTGCAAAGGACGCAGGACATCGGTGAGGAGCGGCGACGAGGCTAGCTCCAAAGAACGCGTTGCAGCGAAGGAGATGAGTAAGAACCCAGAAACTCGTCCAAGCAGGCATGGAGGTGAAACCCTGAACTCTAAACGTTTTTGGGTGCAAGGTCTCGGGTTTTAGGGGTTGCAGGTTTAGGGCTTTAGGGTTTAGAGCTTAGAATGTTCAGGGTTGAGTGGCTCCCTCATCGCGAACACCGCGGCGCGACCTTCCTCTTCATCATGGCTCTGAGAGACGTGGACACATCACAGGGCCTCCGCCTGGAGGCGAAATCCACCTGCGCCATGAAACACACTTCGCTTTGCATTGGCTGCGCATGTCCCTCGCATACCGGCAGCCGTGACGTTTTGTTTTTGGCTGTGAAGTTTTCCTCACTTATCTTCGAGAACAGTCTGCCCATGTACTGGAAATAGCTCCTGTCTCCAACCCTTCATCTCCAGCTGGCCCCGGACTTTGCCGTCCCATGCCAGCAATGCGCAGAAAAATGAGGAATGTTCCCGTTAACGTTGCGAGCAAGCCTGCAGCAAAGGCGCGGGCAACGGAGGTGCCGGCCAGCGCGCAGCAAGGGATACAGCCGTCGCCTGTCGGAGGTCCCCGGGGGCGGGCTAACCTGACACTAGCTTCACAGCCGACGCATGGCAAGCGCACGCTGCAGATCGTTCACGCGCGACGCCGTGGGAACGGCAGCCGGAGCGGGTCGCCGAGGGTCAAGCCGGTGAGGTGCGGCGAGGTGAGCGGCAGTGGCAGACGGAGGCGCTACAGGAGCATCTGGCTAGGTGAAGCGTTCCCGGAACTGGGTTGCGGCGGTGTCATCGACAGCACAAGAGGCGGGTCGCTGCCATACGCAGGTGAAGTCGACAAGCGCTGTGCCTTTTTCCCGTTTCCTGGCAGGTAGCCCCGTGGCGGCCTGCGGGGCCTAGCTGGCGCAGCAAAGTCAAGCACGGCCTGCAGGGGCGTCCAGTGCGAAGGCGATACCCTGGTCACAGTTTTTTCCTTGCAGCAGCTGGGCATTTCTGAATTTATGCTGCGCAGAGCGGCTGCACAAGTCGTGCGCTTTGTTTCCGGAACTACCGACTGTATGGTGCACTGCCGGCATGCTTTCTGCTTCGATGCTGAGTCTTTGACCCTTCTGAATTGAAGATGGAGGGTTTTGTCGCACTACAACTCGCGGCTCCCCGAGCACACAATACAGGGCACGGCGTGCAGCCTGAGCGGAGCCACCGGACTCCCCAACCAATACACGGCAACGCACAGTGATGCAAGGCAAGGAAACCATGTGTGTGTGGCTGTGTGGCCCGGCACTTGGCTCAGGATGAAGGTAGGCTTATGATTCATACGCCCGTACACCGAACAAAACAAACCGGCAGCCAGCACCGCCCAAAACTGCAACAGCTAACGTCCTGAAGGAACAAGTTAAAGGAGAAAAGCGCGAACCGGAGTCTTCGCGATATCTCATGCTACGTTTTCCCCATCGCGGACTTTCGCGGACGCTTTTTTGTCCCGAATGCATAGCGGAGCCTTCCCGTTTTAAGAGGTGGGGCTCCAGGACCTAAGGAGCTTTCGTGGCAGCGCGCAAAAAAGCGTCCGCAAAGCGTTCCCGAAAGAGCTCGAGTTTCGGAAGCCGAGCATTTTTTGGTATGGATGTGGTCTTTACACGCCTCACACGTGCCGACAGTCATGGGGATGAGGCACCTGCGCGGCACCATCCTGGCAACCTCTGTCGTCACTTTGCAAGCTGCGTTTCCAAAGTGCAGACAGTGAGGAGCACCCTCGTGACCGTCGTCACTTCTTAGGCTTGGGTCGCTGTTCACGCCTCAACAAAAGTGAAAACAGAGGCAATCGGGTTGCACCATCCTCGTAACTGTCGTCACTTTTTAAACTTGTTTTACTGTTCGCGGCTCAAGAGGATGAGGCCCGTGGGCGCCACCTCACTTTTGGATCTCGTTGGGTGTTTGAGTCTCAAAAGTGCTGACAGCTACGAGGATGAGGCACGTGCGGCGCGCCCTCCTCGTGACTGTCCTTACTTTTGAACCTTGGCTTGGTGTTCATGCTCCTGATGCGAGGTTATGCTTCTCGGATAAACACCTACAAAGTGTTCCTGATTGTTCTGCTTATCGGGGGGGGGGGGGGGGGGGGGGCAAAAGGTGGACACCTACAAAGTGTTCCTGATTCCACGTGATGAATATCTACAACGTGTTCACGATTCCAGGTTTCCTACAAAGTGTTCCTGTTTCCGCGGCTGGCTGGGGGGTGGGTGGGGGGGGGGCCGGCGAGTGGTGAATGCCTGCAAGTGTTCCTGATTCCAGGTTGTGATTGTCGGGGGGTGCCAAGCATCAATTCTTAAAGCGACAGAAAGCCGACAGGTGTTGGCCACAAGCTTTGGATTTGGGGTTCACCTATCCTGGAGAACCCTGTCACGTTGCACATGGACGCCATACACCTCATGTCCTTTCAGAATGAAAAGTCTGCTTTAGGGGGCTAGGGCTTGCCATCTCTCCTTTCAGGATAGGGATTGCCTCAAGATCGGGCTTTGGGTCTGCCACCACCCACGGGGCAGGACAAGCCCTACTCTCCAGCACTGCCGCAGACTATCTTGTTTTTACCGGCGTGTAACTGAGTCATGCACAAACAAAGCCAACAAGACTCTTCGTTCTTGTTCAGAAACTCACGTGCGGGCGCCGCGCAGGCAGGATTGTCCCAGTAGCTGTCCTCTATTGCCCCAGGGAGCCACATACGCAGCGTTTTTCCAGCAACTACCCCTCGAGAACTCCAACTGGAGAGTCTCACACTATGTTGTTTCTTTCGTGTTGGTTGGTGTTCTTCGTTTTTGACCTTTGCCTTTTTGGTGTTCTCACCAAAGAATGTCTTTCGCAGACAGGAGGCGTCGTGCGAAGTGCTAGCAAAACAACCTAGTAACCAGCTTGCCAAGTCGGCACCATGTGAGAAAAGGCGTCAACCTTGCAAACTTATGTTTATGCGACCCCTCGCATCTATTCCCTGAATCGGGCAGATATCTGAATGGGGCGCGTCCGGTTTCCTGAAGCGGGCAGTTTTCTAAGTAGCATGAGTTCGGCAGCCAGCTAGTTTCCTGAATCACATAGGCCAATTTGCGAGCTGCGGGTTCCCGAATCGCAACAGCTTCCTGAATCGCACTTCACTGAACCCTGGTCTCTTGAATCACCGCTACGCCAGGGCCGCTCGGTCGAAGGTTGCGAGGCCCAGCAGACATGTCAACGACACATAACGACACATAACTTTTGAGGTGAGGCCTTTTGCATCCTTTTGTCACGATCTATTTCTGTTGCAGTCAGGGCGCGAGGCCCATCAACTTGCCTCGTCCCCATTCTTTCGCAACAACACCCGTGTGATGCTCGAAGATTTCGAAGAGAAGGTATGAGTCGGGTCGAAGAAATGGCAAGTTCGGCTGTTCGTATGTACAGGAGAAGTTCGAACTTCCATTGCAGCAAGGCACTGTGTACAAGCTACTGCTGACCTCATGAAGACAGAAAATCTGAAATGGGCACCACTGGCACCGTCACCAGACGAGCCGCTTGTGTCTCTTTGCCTGTGTTAGTGACCGAGGGTCGGTGCTGGAGATGGAGCAAAAACTGCCCCCTTGCGCTTTTAGAAATCTACAAGAAATCTCCACCACCATACCCACACGCTCAGTAGCACCCAAATAAACTTTCAAAACTAAGGCCTTGCGCCTGAGCCGCATCCTGCCCATGTATACCAAAGTTTGTACGGCTTTTCTGGCAGGACAGCGAGCGCCGGCACAACGCAAAAGCGGTCGAGACCACGAAGTAAACAGTTGCAGCAGGGTATGGCTGCCCAAGCTCTGACACAGGCATACAAAACCAAACTCATCGCAATTGTGATGGCGTGGTTGTTGACCACCCAGCCTTCAAGTCTCATGAAACTTCCCGGGCTTCAGTTCTCACCGGCAACTGGCCGGGGTGGTCGCCTCGAGCTGATTGAAAAGGATCAATGTCCGAGGGATGCAGGCTCTGCCTGCTGCCTCGAACGAAAAGCGTAGCTTCTTTGCGCCAACTGCCCAGATCCCCCCTCCGCGGCAGGCTCCCTGTAATCGGGAGTGTCGGAAGCTTAGATCAAGTAGGGCTCAAAGATGGACAGCCACAGAAGCCTCGCTCCCATTGCAGGCAAAGCATTCCAAGTCGCTCCGCGAGGTCTCAGTCTAGGCTGACGGCAGTGCTGTGTTGCGAAGTGCGATAAGGCAGAAAGCAGGATCGGCCGGCTTTCTGCCTTTCGCCCAGCGCCCAGCTACAGCTCTAAACTGCGAGCTTTTTAAATTGACAGAGCGAGTGTGCGCATGCTGCCTCTCCCAACGTACGGAGAGCAGCGCACTTGCCCCACCCGAGCTCCACGGCTGTGCTCTTCAAATGCTACGACATGCCTGAATTCTTTGCACCAGCTGCTATGCATCCTGCTGGCAGGGCATCCTGTACTGAGGCTACTATCCAAGCTGTGTAAAAGCGCGGTGCTAAATATGCTGAACCCTTCCAAACAACAGCACAGGCAGCTGGTGCAATACAGTCAACTCTTAAAGCCCTGACTGCCATCGAACTACTTGAGCAAGTCAGATCACCAAGCGAGACATGTCTGGAATGACCTGTGCATCACGGCTCAGGCAAAGTGACTTTTTTCAAACATGCATCTGACTCATCAACCTACTGCGGCGTAGTCATGACGTAGGCAACTCATGGCTGCTTCCCGAGCAAACAGCTTTCCGTTGCAAGCATCGACTCTGGAATTGCAGCATCGTCAGCTCCCTCCTTCCCCGATCAAAGAAAGTTCTTGGCCGTGCATCTTACATTCCACATGCCCTTGATCAACTTTTTGCTATATTTTTCTCGACCTTTGACAAGCCACGACACCATGATGTTTTCACTGTGCCTTCTCGATCTCGACTAAGGTAATCAAGAGATCGTGCTGGCTCCAACTCTGTGCAATGTCTGTGCCGTCCTGGGAAAATGAGACCAGCCCGCCCAGTACGCCCGGCACAGTCCGACAGATACGCTCCCAATGCCTTCGATTTGAGGCAAAGCACAAGTCCAAGCTCTTCCCGGAGCTCTTCACGTGAAAGAGCAGACAGTTCCTCAGAAATACCAACAAATCAAGATTTATCCAAGCTTGCACCCTCTCCTATTTAGAGGCGGTGTGCAGGGAACACAAACTGTCTGACAGGTTGCCCACAACACTGATCAACCAAGCTGCCTTTTCCCGCTGAAGCTGCCACGCAGCGTCTCTGTTGGGTACGGGTGCTGTTGCAGATGCACAAAGCCTCAACACGAAGCATACGACCAGAGCGCAGCAGCAGCTTAACCGACTGCAACCATGCTACGCAGTTAGAGCCGGAGAAGGCGGGGCAGTGGATGCAGCGGATGTCCTGAGCTGCAGACGCACCTTGTCACAACTCCCACTGCTGCTATATGTTCGGGTTGACATTGGTTGACATCGCAGATGGCCTTTGCAAGCCACTGCTTTGAAGACTCTTTTGAGCGTGCAGCATGCGGTAAAAAGGATGCTGAAGTTGGGTCTTTTGGTCTTTGCAGCGGCCTTTGCAGGGCATCTCGATTCAGGGGCACCTCAACGCAGTGAAGCCTCGGCAGCTCCTTCATCTTGTCAGGATCCCGTGCCTGCAAGCCGGATGCAGACCCGAAGGGGGCATCACGTACCGAGAAGGCGGCAAAGAACTGGAGTTCCGGTCTGCGACTCCCTCTCCCCAACCTTTTGGCGACTAGATACCCTTCTGTTTTACCAGCCTGCCACTTTCTGACTTGAGTTGTCCACTGACCGTTCAGCCGCGGCGCATCCGTCAGAATCTCATCGTCATCGTCATCCGGAGTGATCCATACCGGCGAGCTCATCAGCCAAACCACCTGGAGGATACATTGAAAATGTGATAAATTTAAGGAGAGTTGCAATTGCTCCTGGCACAGCCCTCAAAGAAAGCAAGCCAAGCCCTAAGCGCTAAACGAGGCCAAGTGACATCATCCTCTGGAAGCCTCAATCTTTGGAGCGTGACAGAAGCTGCGTTTGGAAAGTGCCTGCGAGTCACCCTCCAAGGGCATCCAAGATACATCTCCGTGTCACTGTCCTGAAACTCAGATGGTGTCCGAAGCTCCGGAGGCGTCGCTGGGGACGTCGGAATGAGCATTTCCTGCAAGCGTGATGAACCACACCGAAGAACGAATGGTTGTTAAGCCATCCCTCATCCATCAGTGATGACAGTGGGGCACCTCTTTTCTAAAGTTACACGGTCTGACGGTTCTGGCAAGGAAATGAGGAAGTCGTGACTACAGGTGGCACGTGACATGGTCAAGTCGGGAAGTATGATCAAACTGTGCACACAAGCTGGATTCCAACAGAAAGATTGACTGCATGAATCGGACCTGATCTGTGTTGTCGGTTTTCTGACCTGGCACGGGCACAGCACTTTGCACAACAGTCTCTCGGAAAACACATTCAAATGGCTGGACAGGTCATCCGGTAATCAGGCCCACCAAAACACAAAGTTGGTCTGCCTTCACATGGGAGACTATCACGCTCCACGTCAACGACGGTCCGCTTGACCATGTGGCCAAATCGTTTGCACTAAGGCCACGCCTAAAACCTACGTTCAGCCAAGAATGCTGCAGAGACGTACCATACTGCAAAACCAACCGGAGTAGCAAGATACTTCGGGCCGGCTGTGTGACTGCAATCTCCGTGCAGCTTTTTGACGCGGAATCAATCAAGAAGGGGTGCCGAGCACTTCCACACTCCTTCGGGGCATTGACTCGTAGCTGTGCGGCTACGCTCACATCTCTTCTCGAGGATGTTGTTTCTCCAAGCCATCTATGTAGTAGGTGCCGATCTGGATCATCAAGCGCTGCCTCACTGGCCACTCACTGTTTCTCAGCCAGAGAGGGGACACAAGCACAGATCAACTTAAATGCAACCCCAGGGTCACTAGGAACGTGCCCAAGCAAAAGCGGGGTGCATGAACACATCCTGTAACATTCGGACCTCAGCCAGACACCTGTCTCTGCACCATACCACAATTTATGCTTCCACTGAGTCCTCAGAAACTGGGACGCTGCGCATTTTCGAATGTCACGGAGTTCTGCCACAAAGCTCAACAAACGATCTGCATTTTCTCGACCAGGCATGAAAGTAGTTGCCTCATGTTGCAACGTCCATCAGGTCCACAATTCGTGTGTGGTGAGCGCTTCAGATCTGGAATCAGGAAACTGCTCCGGGCAAGTGGCAAACTCTTCTGTTCTGTGTGGTCCACCGAACACAGCAGGATCATGATTAGCCATCAATGCTATGGTAGATCCATAAGAACCTCAGCTTTGACTGCGGGAGCTGCGCAACCGCTCATACGCTTTGGTCCGTGATATTGGATAATTAAGAATCTTGTAACTCAGCGCCTTTATTTGCATGTAAGCTCCACTCCCTGAAACGCCAAGGCCGCTGAAACCGTAAGCCCTTCAATTCCTAAACCTCGATGTCAGGTTAGGAGACTTCTCACGAGTGGAAAGAGCTTGGGTGGCTGAAAAGTGGAAAGCGAGGTATCTTTGGAAACACAAATTCAAAGAAACCGTGTGGAACCTCTTGAACATCCGGGCTGGTTGTGGTCTTGGATTTGTTTAATCGTTGAGCACCAGTCAACACATTCAGAAGCTAGCACACATCGACAATCACCAATCATGCACAAAAATGAATGCCTACAGCACGAAGGCAGATCTCATGTTGCTGTCTGGCTTCCTGCAGTTTCCTCATACGCAAAGCCGGTTCCCAGCGTGTGTGTCCTTGTCGCGGATAAGCATGAAACAACGAGAAGCATTGGAAGTCACGTCCTTTTGACGGCTCTGTCTGCAAACAAAGCTCCGTGTTTCTTCTGCAATCCAGGGGTTTACGCCTGCTCCACCACCACCATGCATCCTGACAACCTGCAGTCTGCTGCGCAAAGCCAAGCTGAGATGTGGTTCTACACTCTGCTGACCCTCTTGTGCAACACACAGTGAGCTCCTCCAGAACAAAGGCGGCGGGATCGCGCTTGAAGAGAGGAATGTTGGTTTGGGGTGCTCTCTGCAGTAGCCTGTCACAAAGCGAAGCAAGTGGAAGCAAGTCGAAGCACTATGCTGCAAACAGTCCCATGCCTTAGGAGCTTGAAGGTCGCCAGGGCGCCTTCAAGAAGAAAAAGCAAGAAAATAGACTCTAAGAAACTAGAATAAGTGGAAAGTCCCTACTCGACTAGTGGCTGTCCTCCAGGTCCATCCCCACCGAATCCGGCAAAGGAGAGCTCGAAGAGGGTCTTGCGCAAACGCTCCGGCCCGTTCATGCCTCAAAAACACGTCGCAGCATCACACGACGCAGTTGCTTGGTGAACCAGACATAAAGCAAGGTTGTTAGGTCAAACGTGGGGCGACCTCGAGTTTTAACCACTGCACAGACTGATAGCATGCTCGTGCCTCTGCTCTGAGCTTCGTCCATGAGCCGCTGGCCAATCTTGCCACTTGCGACTTTCTCCTCTACGACCTGAGGAATGGGGGGTATGAAACCATACGACCATACGAAACCATATGAATCATTAAGAACCTCTCGGGCATACAAAGTTGACTGATGCTACTGACAATCGAACTGCAGGCCCCTAACCAATCACCCGGCCTTGGCAAGTTGTGCGCATTGAGCACCACCCGCTGCCGAGCCCATGCCAAATATCGTCCTGAAGTGCACCTTGAAGCTCTTTGGTAGTATGAGCCCTTCTTTACCCTTTTATATACCCCTTAAAAACCCAAGGGCCCATACTTCAGAACCCTGGAGAAAAGGCTAGGGCCCATGCAGCTACCCTTAGAGGCTAAGCCGAGAGCCAAGGCTCCGTGCTAATCACATCAGTGCCGTGCTCTCAGTGAACCACGAAACACAAGCATCCAGTACTCAGACTCCAGCACGAAGCCACTCCTTCAAGGAGTAGATCTCATCCTTGCACTTACAGCTCTCGCGTGCAGAGGCAACATTTGACATCCCAAGATGCCACAGCGATAGGAACTTTGAGGTGACTGAATGGGAGGACAAGCTGCGCTGGTAAGGTCGACCTCGAATGCATGCCTGAGGGATCAGATCAAACACTAGGGTCGCCAAAAGAGCAGAAACTTGAAGAGCCGCACCTGAAAAAGGTAAATGCGAAGACGTCCTGAACCACATGGGGAACCACCTCTGGGAACGGGAAGATCAAATGCCTCGGTACAAAGGGAAGCACTGCAGCAGATGTTGATGCTACTGAGGGATTGCACATCTTGCGCCAAGCTTCCTAGATACTCCGTGAATCAGGTCATCCACGGAGATGCCAGGAGCTGGTTTGAAATCCTATCGGCTTCACAACTTTCACGACTGTGACATGCCTGAGAGAAAGAATCTCTTGTGGCTACAGGCAACAGCACAACCAAAGTCCGAGCGTCCGGGACCGTGTCAGGATTCTCAGCTAGTGCTGGCATTACGGCAGCAATGAGATCTCCTTAGAGCCCACTGTCACGATGACTGGAGACTCCACTGGTGGCAATTCTCTCAATCTTGAACCACATCTCGGTTTGAGCGCCTTCCTGCTGAAAGAGATTCTGTGCGCGTACCGGGCTTCAGAATCCGTGTTCAGCCTCAATATCACGGAATGTGACGCAACTCGAGATCCCAAGAGTTTGCAGAAAGGCACTGAAGCAGCGTTGGCAAGACTCCTGGAAGGAAATAGCCTCCAGCAACTTTGCGGCACGGATGCAAAAGTTTCAAAACAGCTTGCAAGTCAGACATGATGAGTTGAATTGGGAATGCATCCAAACCAGACGGCAGGCCTTCCGGAACCTTCGCAGTGTCCACCGTCACAAACATCTTGCTGTCTCGCTTCAGCCTCCTCGTTATTTGACCATTAGTTGACCATTGGGCGTGACGAAGAAAACAGCATGTCAGTGCATCTGTTGAACCACGACTTCAGTCAAGAAGCGGGTTGTAATGTACTTCTCTCACGGAGGCGTGGCTGATGCGTGAAACCATGTAGCCAGTGGCAGGCGCGGAAGGGCTCGGAACTCGGCTGTTTAGCGATAAACCAACGCGGCAGATGAAAGGGCGACGAAGAACTGTGGAAGCTGGGCTTTCGACACAATCCAACTCCGGTTTTAGGGCCATCAATCGCGTACGACAGCAAGGGGTTCCACACAGGGCCGACAGCAATTCCACCGCCTGCGCTTGCAAAATCTTGCAATTTTTGGAAATCAATCGCAACATCTGGCGATGGACAAAAGGAGACCGTTCTTGCGCAGCGTTCCCTAACAACCTTTCTGGATCTCAGGCAACCAAAACCTTTCCATTGCAATGGAGGCTCCGACTTTCCAGATGTGCCGGGCTTGCGCCAAGATCTGCAGCAAATGCCTGGCAATTGGAACCGGCACGACATATGTGTCCACTGCGCGGATATAAGCACCTCGGAAGCAGCTTGATGTCAGAGAGTGAGGTTCAGCCATCATAAAGAACTGCTGCGCCAAAGAAATGAATTGCAACTTGGGCACGCTCCACTCCAGGCACAGATAGACATCCGAAAAACACAGCAGGAACAATGGCCAGAAGAATGAGGCACACGCGGCAGCAGCCCATTTTAAGACTAACAAGGCTGTGAATGAACCACTCTCTACGGTCAACATGGTTCTCGAGGAATGTACAGGAACCAGCACATTTTGAGTGTGGATGGCAAAAGCCACTTCGCACTAACGAAGCCGGTCCTACCTTTGCCAACCTGTCTGCGTCTTTGCATCCCTCTGTCAAGCAAAAAACACTCAGCGAGATATGACGTCAGAATGCCTCGGCCAGTTTCTGATTCCAACCCTTTCATGCGCTCTGCGCCACAACGCACCACAAGAAAGCATGCCCTCAGCAAAAGTTGACGAACCTGCTTTGCCTCATGCGAAGCTGCTGCGTCACACACTCGGCTTCTCAATTAGCCGTGACAGGGCTTCTCACCCAACTCAGCCGCTGCACCAGGACGCTCTTTCAACAGTCCCAGCATGACATATTGACATACTCCTGCACCGCCTCTGCAATATCCAGAGCGTGTCAGCCTCTGCTTCGACTTCTACTTCTGCTTGGCGCAGCATTCCCTGAAGCAGATGCGACCTGATCCTGATTGCCCACCGCGATCCCCGGCATCATCATGGGCATCATGGGGACAACTGCTGGCATCATAGGCAAGACGCCAGGCATCCCAGGAATCATGGTGGGAGGCATCATCATCGGTGGCATCATCATTCCAGGCATCATAGGCATCATTCCGGGCATCATAATGCCAGCTGCTTCCTCCGACACTTCGGCCTCTCCCTCGGGAGCAACCTCCACTTGAGGCGTGGTTTCTCGCTTCTCCGCGAAGCGGCACTCCTGGCCACCCGCTTAGGCACCATGACCCCAGCATAATTACGTCCCAAGTACTGCTAACAAACCTCATGCAAACAACAAACAAGGCCCTACAAAGAACAAGCACTGCCGCTTCTTGGAAACTTCCATGGGCATCATGAGATTGGCAGGTTGAAGCCCACGGTCCTCGATGAAGGAATCTGTGAGCCGCTTCAGTTTGTCGATGGCGATAATTTTTCCGTCTGTATTCAACGTCAGGCAGTCTTTAAGCTCCACGTAGGACTCTTTGTCCTCACTGCCCACCCTCTTGTCCACAATCTTGCCTTCATACTCAATGAATGCCTCATGTCCAAGCTTGTACTTGATGATGACATAGCTTCCAAGCCTTAGTTGCTACATCTCCACACTCCGAGATACTCCAAATACCAGCACCACATGCCTTTCAAGATCATCCCCGCCCACCCCTTCCTGTCCATGCAAACATGTGGCTTGAAGCCTTTCGTCACGAATCGTTTCTTGCCCCTGCCAGCTGGTCCAAAGGTTTTCGTGTAGCCTTGATGGCCACCCAATGGTCCAGACATTGCTCCACTTCTGTGCAACACGTTTGCTTGACTTGAGTTGGGTTGGGTTGTTTAAACACAGGTGGGTTGGAATTCGGCGATTATGCATGCCAACATGTTTTGTCAATGCACCGCGGCCCATGCCTAATCGCGTTTCCATCACAATTGCATAAAGATCCTGGAGCCACAAATCCAATCTACAAGGTACCCTAGCGAATCCAGTTCAGTTTGCGCGCAGCATAGGCCTGCACGGTCTGTAACGGCCAGCCCAATGTGCTGCGCCTTGAATGTATGATGATCCCGATGCTAATTCTTCATCCCCAAAGGAAACCGCTGGCGTTTGTCCATAAACATCCCATGTACTCAGCTTGCGAAATTTTCCGCCAAGTGCTCAACTCTGCCCATTGGCACAACATGTTGCCGATTGCTTTGCCAATGCATCAGGATTGAAAGCATTCGATAATCAACCATGCTTCTCAACAAGCGAGAACCTGCTTGCCACTCCTTACCACTTGCAGCTATACTACTACATATATCCCTCTTGCCATTGGCTTGATGCGTTTCCTACTTGACATAACAAATGTCTCCTGCGACAAAACCAAACTGGCAAAACACCAGGTATTCATTTGCTATTACAAAACAGCATTCATGCTTGTTTGCAGAACACAAAAACCCTCTCAAAACTTTTCCCGGACTTTTGTTCTTCTCCACAAGGGATGCACTACAACATTGCCCATGTACAAGCAAGCAATGATGTGAAATGGGGCAGGTCGATACGAAGTCTCTGAGCCGCATGCAGCATACAGCATGTACTGTGGGCGCATATGCCCCGGTGCATGCACCACTCACCCTAGGGCGGACGGGCGGGAAACAACATGTTTTGGACGCTCATACGCACACACACGACCCAAAACTGAGCATTAAACCATGAAAGCCAAGCATGGGCCGTGCAAGGTCATGCACACACATGCTGGCATTAAAGCTGGGATGACAACTCTTGTTTTTGCCCAGGTGCGCCTTGCGAAAAACATCAGGGCCGGGACTTCGCCCACTCCAGCCAGAACCAAGGGCGGCCGAGGATTTTAGTTCTTTCGGGCTTTAAGTCCTGCAATCAACCTAGGTTGAAGATGCTTTTATTTCCCAAGTCCCATTTCCATTAACTACCCTCACTGCACGCACTTGGCGATCGCCACTGGGTCGTAGCGTTGGGTAACTGTTCTCGCAAGGCTCACGCCGACCCAGCTGCTTGTCTTGGTAAAAGGGCCGGCTTGCTGGAAGGCGGTCGGGCTTCCAACAACCCTGGTCTGATCGAAGGACTCACAAAAGTGCTGACAGGGAGTTTCATAACGCAAAGAAGTCTCAGCAATTTTCCTCCGACGGAGCACGGCTGTCAGCAAGTCCAAAACCCTGAAAGGAGATGTTGGGAGGCAAACCTTCTCGACCCTCAGAGGATACGGTGGGCGGCAAACCCTAAGGCCCGAAGGGTAAGAGTCTTTTGTTGTTGCGGGTGTGGGGGCGTTTTGTTTTTTTTGCTGCGGGTGTGGTGGAGGCACGTTTTGTTTTTTGTTGCGGGTGCTGGGGTGCGTTTCTTTTTTGTTGTTTTCTCTACAGGAAACGGGAAAACGACTTCACCTGCATATGGCAGCGACCGGCATCTCCGGATGTCGATGACACCGCCGCAACCGGGTTCCCCGAACGGTTCACATATCCGGAACTCTGCATTTCGCGTGTTGCTCCTGTAGCGCCTCTGTCTGCCACTGCCGCTCACTGCTCCGCACCCTTTGGAAAGCCTCTTTCTCTTCTCTATATTCGAATATGAAAACCTCTATTTTCTTTACATTTTAATATGATTTTTTTCTAATTTCTCTATGCTGCCTCTATTTCTCTATATCTTATAACGAAAACCTCTATTGCTCTCTATTTTGTCTATATTGTCATAATTTTCGTCATTTTGTAATAAGGAAGACATGAGAGAAGAATACATGAAAAACTAATTTTGTGCCATCCCTATATGAGGATTGCATTCAAAGTGTTTTGTTCCTTTTGTCCTCTTCTAATAGGACAACCATTACATGAGAAGCTACTTGTCTATATTTTCATAAGAATACATGCATTGTCTTTATCTGTAACACGCAAACAACAAGAATTCTTGTTCATGTTTGCCATATTCTCATGACCAAAGCTCTGTTTCCTCGATTCCTTGTTATGAAGACGTTTATATCTCTATCTTTTAAAGGGAAAATTCAATTTCCACTATGTTTTCTGAACTTTTGTAGGAAAGCAATCATATTGCCTCTTTTTTTCAGGGGTGTTGGGGGGTGCGCAGCCCCCCCCCCCCATTTGAAACACAATGCCTGCATCATGGGTTTGGAAGGGATTCGTATGCATTGAAGCAGGCTTGTCCGGCTTAAAAGGAGCGGGGGGTTGGGGGTGGGGCTCAGCCGCCCTGCCATTTGCAAACACAATGTTTGCATCATGGGTTTGCTATGCTTTGACGCAAGTTTGCCCGGCTTAACAAGTGGGGGTGTTGGGGGGGGGCAGCCCCGCGCCAGGTCGCCGGCAGCGGACCCGGAAATAGCGCCCGCAAGAGGGGGCTCGTTCTTATTGCTGCGGATGGGGCGGCACGTTTGTCCTTTTTGCTGCGGGCGCGGGGGCACCCCGCGCCAGGTCACTCACTCACCGGCGGCGGCCCCGGAAATAACGCTCGCAGGAGGGGGCGCTGTTTTTTTGATGCGGGTGCGGGGGCGCGTCTTTTTTGCTGGAGCCGCGGGGGCACCGCGCGCCAGGTCACTCACTCACCGGGGGCGGCTCCGAAAAAACACCGACAGAAAAAGATGCACCCACGACAAAAAACAAGCACGGGTTCCAGGCCCGAAGGCCGTACACCCAAAATGTTGAAATTGTGTGTGGTAAGACCTAAACCCCAAAAAGGGAAATAGCGGGTCGCAAACCTAAAGGGCCGACAGGAGACGATGGGTGCTAAGGCCCCAAACCTTGAAAGGAGATGGCGCAAACCCTAAACCCTAAAAAGCCAAAGCCTAGACCCAGAGAGGACACGGGCCCGAAGGCCCTAAAACCATGTGAGGAAATGGTGGCGGCAGACCCAAAACCCAAGATTAAAATTTGCGAAAAGGAAGCTGCGAGTGGCACACATTTTTACACTGAAAAGGAGACGGTGGGCGGCAAAGCCTAAACAATCAGGATATAGTGCATGGCAAACCCCAAGCCCAAAGACCCTAATCCAGAAACGCAGACGGTGGGCGCCAAGCCCAAAACCCTAAACACAAAAAGGCTTGGCCCGGCCAGCCCTAAACCCGAAAACCCGAAAACGCCGCCCGCCAAACCCTAGACTTTGAAAGGAGACGGTGGGTGGCAAACCCTAAACCCAAAAAAAGGCGGGCGGCAAACCCTACACCTTGAAAGGACGGCGAGGGCAAACTTTAAGGCTTAAACCCTAAAAAGGGAAATAGCTGGTCGAGGGCCTTAAACCCGAAATGGAGACGGCGAGCGCTAGGCCCAAAACCTTGAAAGGAGACCTGGGCGGCAAACCCTAAACCCTAGAATGGGAGCGGCAGCCCTAAACCCTTAAAATCCATCAAGGAAACGGCGAAAAGAAACGGCGCGGCAAACCTTAAGGCCCTAAACCCTAGAAAGAAACGGCGGGCGGCAAACCCGAAGGCCTTAAGCCTTGAAAGGAGACGGTGGACGACAAACCCTAAAAACACGATAGGCGGGGGTCACTTGTGACTTCTGTCGGGTGTCACTTGTGACTTCCCGAGAGGCGCCTCACTTGTGACTTCTCTCGGGTGTCAGGGTTCAGGGTTTAGGGTTCACGGTTTCGGGTTTACGGCTGTAGGGTTTGGGGGTTTTGGGTTTAGGGTTTAGGATCTGGGGTTTAGGGTTCACGGTTTAGGGTTTAGGGTTGAGGCTTTAGGGTGACCTTTAGGATTTAGGGCTGAGGATTTAGGGTTTCGGGTTTAGAGAGGGTTAAGGTTTGGGGTTTAGGGTTTAGGCTTGCGGGTTTAGGGTAGCCTTTAGGGCTGAGGGTTTAGGTTTAGGGTTCCGGGTTTCGGGTTTAGGGTTTCGGGTTTAGGGTTTCGGGTTTAGGGTTTAGGGGTTAGGCTTTTGCGGTCATGGGATTGCGGTCTTGCCGTCCTGCCTCAGGGTTGAGGGTTTAGGGTGCACGGTTTAGGGTTTGCGGTTTTAGGGTTTAGGGTTGAGGGTTTAGGGTTTATGGCTTTAGGGTTTAGGGTTTAAGGTTTGGGGTTTCGGGTTTAGGGTTAGGGGTTTAGGGTTTAGGGTTTGGGGTTGAACAATGTATACACGCACCAAGAACAAACGCGAGTCAGATGGATGCGACACGGATCCTAAGGTAACCTTTAGGGTGTAGGGTTGAGGGTTTCGGGTTTCGGGTTTAGGGCTTGGGGTCAAGGGTTTAGGGTTTAGGGTTTAGGGTTTAGGGTTTAGGGTTTAGGGTTTAGGGTTTAGGGTTTAAGGTTTACGGTTTAGGGTTTAGGGTTTAGGGTTTAGGGTTTGGGTTTAGGGTTTAAGGTTTAGGGGTTAAGCTTTGCGGTCATGGGATTGGGGTCTTGCCGTCTTGCCTCAGGTTGAGGGTTTAGGGTGCACGGTTTAGGGTTTGTGGTTTTGGGGTTTAGGGTTTAAGGTTCAGGGTTGAGGGTTTACGGTTCAGGGTTTAGGGTTCAGGGCTTAGGGTTCGGGGTTTAGGGTTTGGGGTTTAGGGTTTGGGGTTGAGGGTTTGGGGTTTAGGGTTCAGGGTTTAGGGGTTAAGCTTCTGCGGTCATGGGATTGGGGTCTTGCCTCAGGGTTGAGAGTTTAGGGTGCACGGTTTAGGGTTAGAGTTTTAGGGTTTAGGGCTTAGGGTTCAGGGTTTAGGGTTTACGGCTTTAGGGTTCAGGGTTTAGGGTTTGGGGTTCGGGGTTTAGGGTTTAGGGTTTGGGGTTAAGGGTTTAAGGTGTAGGGTTTCTTCAAGGAACAATATATACACGCGCCAAGAACAAACG